GGGCAGGAGGACCAGGGCACGGAGAGGGCTCTCACCTGGAGAATTCTCTGCAGCTTCATTGATTCCTCCTGACTGTTTTCATCCAGGCCATTCCAGGGCTCAAAGGGCGTCCCCTGGTTGTGCACAAAGGTTCCCCAGCAGTGCTCAAACTCTGAGGGGGAGGGAGAAATAGCGTCACCCGTAGCCACAGTGGGCAACAAAGGTGCACAGACTTTAGGGACAGACTTTCTGCATCATCAATTCCACCTTCTCCTTCTTTCCCTCCCCCAGGAACTCAGTTTCTCCCTCAAACTCTTTCTTCCAACTGGGATATAACCCAGCCAGAACCTCCTTCTTTCTGGAAGCCCCCAAGTCCTTTTTCCACTTCCAGCCACTCTCTCTCCGGTCCTCTGGACCTCATCTTCTCCCCTGAGCTCTCCCTAGTGGAAGAGTTTCCCACCATCTCTGCCCAGAACAGGCAAAGACTTCTCCACCAAGGATTCTAAATCCTGCCCACCCCTTCTAGCAGCTCCCCACAGACCTTTGCCCACCTCTCTCCCACCTGCCTGGATTCCACTCTCACCCGTGGAGGTCATGATGGCCAGGTGGGCGCCAGCCCCCTGCAGTGAGCGCAGTCCCTCCTCATATCCTTTGAGGTAGGTGTAGATGCGGGCTGTGAAGATGCGGAGGCTCACGTGGCTGTTGTGCTGCAGGAAGGTGACCAGATCCCTGGCACAGTCAGTGCAGGGGCTCCAGGACAGGAGCCAGGTGACCCTGTAGCGCTTCGCTGGGTCCAGCTGCCAAGAGGGAACCCGATCCAGGAAGCACAGCTCTGCATGGCGGCGTAGCTGGGGATCAGGATCATACTGAGCATGAAAAAGAAAGAAGAGTGTCAGGTCACTTGTGAACAGGGAGCAAGGGCTGGACTAGAGTGAGGCAAGTGCCAGCCTCAAATCAGAGGAGGCAGGAAGGACCAAACCCACAGCGATCCGAGTAGGTAATACATCAATGAGGTATTAAGAATACCAATGAGTGCTAATGACTTTTTATTTTGCTGCCCTCCAAAATGGCTCTGCTCAGCACAGCTCCTGATCTGTCTGTACTTACCATGTGGATATTTTGCTCAACATGAGAATTTTCCATTATTTAAATGTTGCAATAAAATACGATTGATCTGGCATTAAAATAGTATCCATCTTGATTACTGACTTTTCTGGGCCCCCTCTAATTTTGTCCCAAGATGAGGGTCTTCACGTGCCTCCCCCATCCTGGTCCTAGATGAAGAGCTGGAGGAGGGAGGACAGGGGCAAGGGGGAACCCCTTGTTTGCTGGGCTGACACCATTAAACTGGGTGAGCTACCCTCAAGGAGGGGCTTAACCTCCACCCATCCCCCTCATCCACCTACAACCCCACCTGCTCACATACCAATCTTTCCACAAGCTTCTCCTTGGCACCTCACTTGTGCTGAGCCCAAGGGTGACACAGAGTCTGTCAAAGGGCTCCCTGAGCAGGACTGAGGACAAGGGGCCCCAAAGGACCCTCCCCAAGGTGGAGGCTTGGGTGATGGGAGGGGAGTCGCTGTGCTGATAGGAATTGGGAGATTTACCCATATTGCAGTGGGAGGGACGTCCAGCCCTCCAGTCCAGGGACTGGAACCCAGTCAGGCCACTATGACAGTGCAGAGATGATGGAGGAGTGTGATGGGAGTGTCACAGGTGAGGTGAGAAGTGGCCATGGAGGCTTGCTCCTGCCAAGCCCAGACTTAGCTTGAAGTGACTAGAAGGAGCATCTGTACCTGGACCCAGAACCAACAGACACTCAACCTCCAGACCAGGGGCTGTCCTGTGCTGGCTCAGGGAGGGATGTCCCTTGGACTCCGGGGCCCCTTACCTTGGTGTGGCCTTCCTCTTCCCCAAATGACATTTACCCCTGACTCCACTACATTCTGGGCTCTACCCTGGTCAGGGATGCCTCCCTTCTCTCTACCTGCCTAAGGCTCTCTCTTCTGCCAAGTCTGTTGTTGTTGTTGTTGTTTGCCGTCGAGTCGGCCCCGACTCATAGCGACCCCTCCTTGGGTTTCCGAGGCAGTATCACTACGGAAGTAGGATTGCCCAACCTTCCTTCCGAGGAGTGGCTGGTGGGTTTGAACCGCCAGCCTTCTGGTGAGCAGTCAAGTGCCTTAGGCACTATGCTACCAGAGCTCCTTCTGCCAAGTCTAGGAAAGCAATATTTGGGAACCTGGGCCTTGTGAAGGAGCCCTGATAGTACAGTAGTTAAAACACTTGGCTGCTAAACAAAAGGTTGATGAATGGAACCTACTAGATGATTTGGGGGAGAAAGATGTGGCGGTCTACTTCTGTAAAGAATTACAGCCTTAGACACCTTGTGGGGGCAGTTCTATTCTGTCCTGCAGGATTGCTGTGAGTTGAAATGGACTCTACAGCAGTGGATTTGGTTTGGTTTTTGGTTAGGTCCTTGAATTCAGAATATTAACTATTGCAGGCCCTTCTTGCCCATTTCAATGCTGTAAAGATGTTCTTAGCTCTCCATCTGCTCAGGTGTGCAGAGAACTCCAGCTGTCTATTGTAGCCCTGATACCATCCATTATGGGGGCATCTCGAGGGGAGTGGAGTGAGATCTGGAGCATCGGTGACTCTGGGCCTGGGACTGACTGATTACCAATGTGTGGTCTGAAGCCAATCACAGTAGACCTCATCTCCACCCAACTCCAGGACAGACTCATGGGGAGTGCGGTGCAAATGTGAGTATACCTCTGTTCAACATATATGTGCATAGAGAATCTTCTGCCCATCAATGTCTTTGGATTGGGGAGGGCCCTGCCTGGCTGTGGTTGGGTTGGTACTCTCACCTGATTGTGGAGGAAGCCCCTGCCCTCCTCTAGCAGGACCCAGGAGTTGCCATCCAGGAGCTCCACCTCATAGCACAGGTAGGTCTTTCTCTCTTTATTTGCAAAGTTGCTCCAGAATGTGTCCTGATCCATCAGGTCTCTGGGACATAGACAGGAGAAAATCACAATTCACAGGGCCCCTGCTGGACCCCCCGTGCTCCTTCCCCTCCATCCCCATCCCAGCCAGACCTGCAGAGAAGGGGCTTCTGCTCCTTGTGCTGAAGGCCACCAAGCCCTCCTCTCTGACCCCTTCTGGATGTTCATGAGGAAGTTGGTCCTGTCTTTGGGGCTCCTTGGCCTTATCAGGATCCCCCATGAGTCACTGAAGGTGTCAGATATTCCAGTAAGGGCTCCTGGCTGGGGTGGGACTGGTCACCATCCATGGGTTCATATCCCGCCCTGCCCTGGCTTCAGATGACTCATGGCCCTGTTGGACTTGGGCCCCATGGGGCTCTTTGCTCTTGTCTGTGAGGTTAGCCCCTGCTGGATGGTGCTTTTAGCAAAACACACTCCTGGCGGGGCGGGCAGCAGCAAGAGGAAAGAATGACACAGAAAATTCTTTTCAGATAACTTCAGGAATTCTTCTCTCTTTATAGAAACAATACATTGAGAAAAATATTTTGATGCTGAATGACTCTTAAAACAATTTAAAAGAATTCCTAGCCCAAGCTCAGGGGCTTTTCCACAGCGTAAATGCTGGGGCTTCCTCAGGGACTGGACAGCAGAGGAGGGAGAGGGCCCTGAGGATTACCCAGCAGTGGACAGCCCAGGAACAGGGTGTCAGGATGGAGATATTGAGGTGGCATCACAAGGAGGTCATGGCTGGACCATGATAGGCCAGAGAGATCCAAGAGAGAAAGGACCAGACCCCAGGAGCCAGAGCAGGAGCAACTGAGGGGAAGAGGAAAAGGACCCCACGAAACCTCAGAGGTAGACATCCAGGAGCAGCGGGTCCATGGACGATGGGTTACCTGGGCTTTGCGTCTCCACTGGCCTCCATCTTTCCTTTCTTTTCTTCTGAGCTCGCCTTCTCCTGCTCCTCCTTCCACTCTAATGTGCTACTCTTCCTCAGTATGTCCTTCATCACCCAGGAGCCTTATATACCATCAGAGTGACTCAAAAGTGCTGACTCCTCAATGCTGTGCCCCACCCATTTGCCAACTCAGGACACTCATGCCACCCATGTTGGTGTCGAAAAGGGAACTTGTACTCTACTCAAATGTCACATTCCTGGAGTTCTCATCAACAAGCTTTGGTTTTGGTTTCACCAGTCTGACAACAGCCCTACCTGGAACACATGGGCTGATGATGGGGAAGGTGGGTTCTGGACACAATGAGATGACTCTGGGCTGCTGGGGCCAAGGAGAGAGGTGGTGAGGGCACAGGTGAGAGGACAGGTGCCACAACCGGAGGCAGGCCCTTGCAGAGGACTGAGGACAGCCACAGAGCAGGTTCCAGGACAGCTGGAACTATGTGGCAGCACTGTCTCCCACAGTGGACAGCATAAGGCATGCCCTGGCCCAAGGATGTGGGATGCTGCGTTGAGGAACTGTGGAGTGAGTGCCTAGTGCAGGGAGTCTGGTGAGAGAGACGGGCAGCCGCCTACTCTAGGAAGGGAAAGGAACAGATGCGTGTTGAACTTTCTCAATGTGCCACTCTTAGGATTAAATGCCAACTAGAAAGAGAGGTAATTTTTATCCTGGTCACACAGAGCTGGTAATGTGACTTGCTCCAGGCCTGTCGGTGAGCACATGGAGGCAGAAGGTAAACCACACATCAGGCCAGCGCCTCTGAGATTTCCTTCCCCACCAGGCCACCAGAGCTTCAGGGATTCCTATTCTGGTTCCAACATACAGTGCAGAGCCAGGCTCCTGTCCTCCCATGGGCCCTGCCACCTGTCTCGTACAGACTGCCCTTTGGCACAGGGCAGATCCTTGAGGTGTATTGAATCAATGGACAGGACCCTGGTGTATGGACAGGGGGTATTGGCCATGGACCAGGAAGGAAGGGATATGAGGAACAATGTGAGGGACCTGAGTTGGCAGCCCCATCTTTGCTCCCATAGCAGGACCCCATGTTTTCACATCTGTAAACCACTACTATGACGCCAAAGAGGATGTGAGCTGAGGTATGTAAAACAAATCCTTGTAAACCCACGTGCCCATGCAGAGACTCCAGAGAGGAGGCACAGTGGACCTGGCTGGGTCTCCCCACAGCAGAGAGAGAGACGAGGACCCTGCCTTGGGCAAAGGTGAACATGGAGCACTGTCTGGGCTCTGGCTCTACGTGCCATCATATGGTGACCAGAAGCAAAAGGACAAACCTTCACTGAGCCCCACATTGACAATTACCACACCCAAAACCTGCAGGGAGCTCCCAAGATGCCTGTGGCCCCTCGGTGGGGCTGACCACCCTCTCCTGTGTCCCATCCACCAGAGCCTGCTCTCCTGGCAGTGGCCCCAAGATCACTGCCCCCTCCCAGGCTGCCTTGCACAAGGCGAGGGTGGGATTTCCTAAAGGCACAAGTGGAGCCCAGGGATTAACTCTGGGTCCAAGCTGAGCTCTCCCTGCACTAAATGAGGGTGTCCAATGAAGTGGAAGCAGCCCCTTACTTAACAATGAACAGAAAGAGGGATGAACTGTATCTGCTCACGGAAATGACTCCTCCTCCACCACCACCACCACCACCACTGCTCTCAGAATGTGGGATGGAGAATTCTGATGTCCTACTGGATTTTTCCACCTGAGCTGTGAGAAGGGTCAGTGGGGACAAGAAGAGGGCTGCCCCTTCCTCCAGGAATGGAGCTGGTCAAAGGCTGGAAACCCCCTAGAAGATATAGGCTCTGTTATGATTTGCCCCATTGCTGTAAGAACACTGGGGTCAGGATGTGGTGCCAGGGGGAGTCCAGACTGGGTCAGAGAGACTGATGGGGCCACAGAGCCCCACGCAGAGAGGATGGCCAGCTCAGCCCCATGTCACAGGACCAGAGTGAATATATCACTGCATCTGTAATCAGGGTCCTGCTTTCTGTATGAGCCCCAGCTCTGCTGCCTCTGCAGCCCCCACCTCCTCATCCCCCCTGCAGCCAGGATGGACGACAGCCAGCTGCTCCCAGTGTCACCTCAGTGTCCCACAGAGTGCCAGGTCCTCATCAGCACCTGTGGGGCTCTCACATCCTGGCAAAACTCTGTGACAGGGCCCTGGAGACACAGGGGTGGGTCTTGCCTGGAACCTGCCCTCCAACGGCATGAAGGGCAGCATCTCCTCTCCTGGGGTAGGCCCTCCTGCCCCTACATCAGTCCCTTTGCCCAAATGACAGCATCTGGTGGATATTTGGGTTGCTAGCTTCCAGGAACTGATGCAGGGCTATTGTCAGGCCCAGGAAATCAAAACTGAAGAAATAGTCTCAGTGATGAGGTTCCTCCACACTCCCCTCCCCCACCCCATGAGACATGAGGAAACCCCCTCCCTTTGGGCAGAGCAGTAGTAGGCATCTGGGTGTAGTCTGGGAAACCCTGAGGAGGTTCCTTTTTGTCCTCTACTGTGCCATTGTGTGAGTGTATGTGTGAGTATGTGTGTACGTGACTTTATGTGTGGAGGGGGAGAGTGAGTGAGTGTGACTGTGGCTGTGCAGGTGTGTGCTGTGCATATTTCTAATGGAAGAGAAGTGTGGGCCCATTTGGCCAGTAACAGTGTGCATGAGGTCCCATCTTTGCACATATTAGGGGTTCTGAGACCCTGAGGAACATCTGCAGTGAGAGCTTCTAGCTGTCATCAGCAAAAGACATGTGTCCCAGAGGCAGGCGTCAGTTCAGGAAGCCCTGGGACAGACACAGAGCTAACACCACAGCCGTGACCTCCGAGGCCCTGGCCCCAGGGTCCTTCTCTGCTTCCCTTCCTCCTCCCTCAGCAGCACCTTCTGCCTCTTGGTGCCCCTTCCCCTGGGCGTCCCTCTGGTCACCTGTCCTCTCCCTGAGCTCCTTCCTGGGTCTCAGGAAGGGAGGAATTAATGTAACCATTTTATTTAATCTCTTATTTATTTCCTTTTCTTTCTTTCTTTTTTCCACCCCTTCACCCAACTTAGTTAGTGGTTTACCCTCCCTTCCCCACGCACACCTGACAACCATCAAAGAATATTCCTTTGTGTGTGACTTTACCATAGTGGTCTCATACAATATTTGTCCTTTGTGAGTGACTAATTCACTCAGAATAATGTCCTCTAGGTTCATCCATGGTATGAGATGTTTCACTGATTCATCATCATTCTTTAACATTGTGTAGTATTCCATTGCGTGTACGTACCTTGGTTCATTGATCCATTCCTCTGTTGATGGGCGTTTGGGTTGCTTTCATCTTTTTTGCTATTTTGAATAGTGCTGTGATGAACATGAGTGTATGTGTATCTGTTTGTGTCATGGCTCTTATTTCTCTAGGAGATATATATTGTTGTTGTTTGTTGTTATGTACCGTCGAGGAGATATATATACACACATATATATACACCTAGTGGGATTGCTGGATCATATGGTATCTCTGTTTCCAGCTTTTTAAGGAAGAACCCTATCATTTTCCACAGTGATTGCAGCATTTTATGGTCTGATTTTGGTCTTGCCTCTCTGCTGAACCCCTCATTCAGCCTCCTCGACTGACTCCTGGGGTTCTGGCTCCAGGCAGTGGAAGGCTGCATGTGTCAGATGCTCATGGATTGTCTATGGATGAGTGAGTTATTGATTGAGGGAGCGTCCCTTTATTTTACAATGACATTGTCATCCTTGGGTCCATGCCACTCCGACAGTTTCCTAAGTCGTCCACACATGCATTGCCATCTGTCATAGCATCCCCACTTAGACTGTCACTATCACTGTCCCTGTGTGTCACATGAGGAACCTGAGGCCAGAGGGGATGTCACCAGCCCAAGGTCCAGCAGAATTCAGGTTCCAACCTAGGTCTTTCTGACTCTAAAGCGTCCACATGAGGACTTTCCACAGGAGAGACTGAGGCAGCTACTGAGACACTGGGGGAGGAGGGGCGGGGGAGCATCCCTGGGGAAGCAGATCAGCCAGAAGCCAGGTGAGGAGTTAGACAGGCATGTAGGTGAGAGGACATCCGCAGAGAGGCGAGAGGCGAGAGTGGAAGTGAGAGGAGACTAGTAGAGAGTGGAGGAGGTGGGCAGCCACAGGGCTGGGGATTCTACAGTGAGGGGAGCTTGGGGAGCTCTGCAGGTGGTCAGAGATGGAGCCTCAGAGAGGGAGGAGGAACCAGACTGGAGGTGGTCCAGGAATCAGAGGAGGGAGCCGGCCCGTGTCCTTGGCCTGCAGGCCTCCTGTGCCACTGTGGGCTCCTGGCTTTGAAGCCTTTGTGTCCCCTTCCTAGGTACAGAGTGACACTCCAGAAGCTGCTCTGCCCTGTGTCAGCAGTGACACTGCTGTCCTCTGCACACAGAAGCTATATTGTTATGACCCTTTTCATTATCACTACTGTTTTCATTATCTTTATTCCTACATACCTATCCTGCCTCCTAACTCCAGTGTCAAGAGGTGCAGACCACACATTAGCTGTCAGGAGGCATGACTGAGACTCAGATAACACCAACAACTGTCCTGTTGGGTTCACACCTCGTTTGGTCCCCTCCCTTTAAGTATGACAGTCCTATGACTTCCCTCTAACAACAGAATGTAGCAAAGATGATGGGATGTCACACCTGGATGGTGTTATGTGGACCTCAGCTCAAAACACTCTCCTCCAGAAGTTCTCTCTGGTGCTGATGGAAGCAGTGGACAAGTTGGGAGCCCGTGTGACAAGGAAATGGGAAGGCCTCTGGGAGCTGAGGGGGCCTCTGACAATAGCCTGCAAGAACTAAAGTCTTCAGGCCTAGAGCGCAAGGACATGAATTCTGCTGACAGCCATCACCATGCATGCAGTCTCATGAGGACCTAGCTCAGTGTGTCTGACTCCTGACCCAGAAATCAGGAGATGGTGAAAGTATGCTGCTTGAGCTGGAAAGTCTGTGATGGTTTGTTAGCAATGAAAAATGACTACAGAGAAACTTTCTCATAGATCCACCCCTTCTCACAGATCCTACC